CTGAGTATTTTGACATTAACGAAGACAACTAAGCGCCACTGACGTATGTATTTTATTTACTGAGTTACATTAGAGCATGCCGTGCACTGAAGTGCATTACACTTCACAATTCAGTGAACAAATAAGGTTCGGTCATCAAGTCTCCTTAGACTGAAGGGGATCTGCAAGATAAAAAAAAAAAATGCAATGTTGGACAAACTTCATGCTCTAAGTAAATGTACTAGTATGTATGAATACAAAGCCATAGAGAGAAAAGTTTATGTGGTGGTTTAGTCTAGCGGAATTCCCCGTTATTTCCTGATGGTTTAAGATTCACACACCCTTCATGTGGCGAACAGAAGTGAAACATGGAACAAATCAAGAGCTGGAACAATGCTGCACAGCACGTCAGATTCACTGTACATGCTGCACTGATAACTGAATCTTGCTAAGGGCCTGAAAGAGAAAGGAATGCAGCTTTCAGATAGGAGCCAGAGAGGAAACAAGTGGTGTAGGCAACCTACCAAGGAAGGAAGAAAACCAAATTCAAATTGCTTCTCCACGTTATCCTGAATGTGATCCAAGACCAGCTGTGCTCCATGACAAGAGTCATGCAGTGGTTAGCACCGAACTCTCAGCTCACCCCTTTATCCTACGACAGCACATCTGCACTTGCACTTACTTTCCATTTCTGGTATCGCCACACAAAGCCCAGGCCAAGCAGACGAAAGACACCAACTCACACGTAGGTCTACATGCCCAGCAGAAACGAGCTCAGTTGCAGAGTGCCAGGCTACCACCTTCACTCCTGAATTCTCCTCCCTGCCTCTCCTACTCTTTCCTCAATTTTGGGGCTAGAGTACTGATTCCAGCACAGGTATATAGTCCACTCTATGGACTGCCACGTACAGAATATATTCCAGTAAAATGGGAAAGGGAGAGCATGCATGACCATTGTACCCTTCACGTAACTATACCCAGAAAAGCATCAAATTCAACCAAGATTTAAGCTACCAAGGCAAATGAAAATGTCTTTCATCTGTTCTGTGTACTTGTCCTTTTCACAGTCTTTCCAGAACACAGGGAACACTGATATCATTTCCCCTTTCTTCTACTTATGTGTTCATGTGCAGGTACAAAAAAAAAACCCAAAATCCTCTGTCCACTACAAACAAGTAAAAAGTATCAATTTTTACATAAATAGGCTAAGGAATAAGAAGCTTCATCAATTCCAAGCAAATCACATATTTGTCTTTCATATTTTCTTTTGAACTGGTGTAATTAAGGAATGGAAGAAATGTTTAGGAAACATTTAATTTTAACAGGTGCACACAATGTGCAACTTTTTTTTTTAAGCTGCAAATGGGAACATAAGTTAACTGAGAGTGGAGCTCTATTTGCACTAAAAAAAAACGCTGCTCATGATTTCAATTAAATATTCTACATGCATTCTTGTTGACAATGTTTGTTTCAACTGACTTTACCACCAGATGGCCTTTCAGAGTCCTCTGATGAAGGCCACCTGACTGAAGAATGCAATTCTAGCATCTAAGAAAGTTTAAAAGTGCCTATATATTAGCAACAGGACTGAACTAGAGGCAGAATTACCAAGATTAAAACTGGGTAAATTTATCATTTCATTTCTTGCAGTCATAGCTAAAAAACACAAGCTTTCCCCTCTCACAAAAAAAAATAATTCTTTTTTAGTTTTAACATTTGTGAGAACTCTGTTTTCTCTATGTAATAGTGTTGTGCAGAAACCATGTAGTTGTAGACTGTCACACAACAGAATTTAATATTAATAGTGTTAACCTCTTATTTGATCTTGCTGCTTTAAGCAAATAGGCTGAGAAAATCCAGCTGGCCAGGATAATTAGTGTCACAGATTATCACGTAATGATCACAATATGAAAACATTCCAAAAGAATGAAAAAGCTATCATTCTAGATTAGTTTGAAGTCATTTTAAGAGAAGCAGAGAACTCAATGTAAGAAACTTGGATCAAGAAAGCGAGAGGAACTATTTATTGAGCTGTCACATCATGAGCTTGTGCAGTTGAGTGGCTGTACTTACTACTAACTACAACAAGGCTGAAAGCAAGACTTCTCCCTGGTATTATGACAAATAAAGGAGACGAAAAGTTTGGTAGCCTTCAAACAAAAAGGCAGCGTTAAGTCCTAGGAAGACAGTATCATGAACAAAGTTCTATTCGAGTTTAATTCAGTATGGCAAAAATCTGAGTATCAGCACACAGCTGCATGCCATTGTGATTTTTTATTACATATATGTATGTATATATTTAAATATATTTCCCCTTGCGAGTAGGTATCTTCCCCCTCTCACTAACTTCAAAAGACAAAAAGATGTGTAGAAGCTGTCTCTGTTTCTTACATTAGGATGTACACTATTAGAGAGCACCAGCCTCTCCCTCTTCTCATTCGCTGTACAACCACGAGTACATCAGTAGTAGATATAGATAGCCCAAAGCAAAGCAGTTCAAGATGTGACAGCATCAACACAACAGTGATATCAGACAAGTCTTGTGGTTTAATACAAGAGCTTTGTCTCTGGCTGAGTGAGGAGGGAAAGGCCCAGCATCACTCTGCGCAAGTCTCCTACATCACAAAAGTTCAACAAATCACCCAAAAGGTATTCAGGAGCTTTCCGTTCTGCCCTTACTCGCCGCTCCCCAGTTTCCTGTATTTCTTCACGTTTTTATTACCCAGAGGTCTCTCGAGTGCTGTTTGTAGCCCTTCTCTTTGGCAGCACCTTTCTATTTGATCAAAAAGGAAGATCCTCCAGATAGAAGCACAATGTTTCAATGAAACAATCTATCTTACTCTTTTTCTAATTCAGAGTAGCTTATTACCTGTAAATGAATGCTATCTTCATTTGGGTGGTGCAGACTCAAACACACCAGCTGCCCTCATGGCTTCAAAGTCCTTCATGGCATCATAGTTTTTATAGAACTCTGCATAAGCTCGTTTTCTGGGTTCAGCAACTCCAAACTGGAAAGTAACACACAGAAAATTAAAGTTTGCAAAGCTTTACAAACAGATTCTTATTCTTTTTTTTGTGTTAGCGCTATGATTTGTATCAATGGGTATCAGCTTAAAAAGCCTTTAGTTCAATATACCGCTTTGTTCCCACTCAAATCCACAGTTCAGGCTATCCGACCATTGGTCAGGAAAAAAAAAATGTCTGAAGTGAAACCTTCAAACGCAAATCTGTTACAAGATAGCATGTTGCACTTTTAAGATCCAGAAACATTCCACCTATATGGACACTCATGCTCAATACCCTCCCTGCTGACAGTTTTGTATGTAAAAGATGCCATTATGCCAAATTCTGTCCCTGTAGGAAGCTGAAAAACCATAACTTCAGATAAAATGGCATCCTAAACCAATGTATTACATTTGAGCTACACTGTAGGTCAACTACAGAAGTCTGGTAAAATTTTACAAGACTGACAAGCCACTCTTACAGCTCAGTGACATAAAAAGGCACAATTCTAACTCCTTAGATACTCAGTCACCCGAAGCACGTGGCTATTTTTGAAATGCAATGCTCCATTTCCACATGATACTTCAAAAGCAGGGATAAAACGACCACACTAGCCTTCTCCACACTGGTATCTTCAGCATGAAGGATGGGTTCTCCAAACTGTTTAAGAGCAAGTTATGTGAAATCAGTCCAGATTCTCTCAAGTCTCAGATACTGTGACAGTGAGAGACACAGATTATCTACAGTTAACATCCATCAATCGTGCAAATGATCAACAGCAGTCCAGGACTAGGAGACTCAAGATTAAGTTGTCACGAATTGCGTGATCTTGATCACAGAGCTTAAAGCATCAGGTTATTCGTATAATTTCTTCAAGATTAGGAAGATTTATTTATGCTCTGGAAATGTGCTTACAAAAATACGTTACTAAAGCTTTCTGATGAACAGCTCAACCAAACCTCAACAAAAAAATATTATGAATTCTTAAAACACACTAATGAGTCCAGTTTATAACTGAAGGACTACAGAGCTCACCTTATACAAAGCCGCGCATCCCAGAGACACAAAAAATGCCCCAAATAGGTGAAACTTCATCCGCCTGGCCAAAAGACGCCGCATTTGCGGCTTAGGCAGCAGCGCAGACGACATGGTGATTGTTTCCTAAAGAAATGGAAAAAAAAAAAAAAAAGAGAGTGAAGAGTATTGTGGTCAGGAAGCTCTACTGAAATAAATTTCTGCAACTCTAGAAAGATTGTGCTTTTTGTATTGCATGATAAACATTTTCACAAACAAGCAACAGCAATCCTCTCTATGACATTTCAATGAAAATTTTTAAGGGACAACAGTCAAGGACAACCTATTTATGACATGAATCTCAGTAACTTTTTATGATCCCTACATCCAGCACTCATGGAATCGAGACTGGCCTTTACTGCGAGTACTAAATCCTTCCCTCCCTGCTGGGTCAAGATTTCAGACCTGCTGTCCTGGTGTTTACATCAGAAAACATTAAGTCCATTGACCGCACTTTATTCATTTTTAAGGAAAAGTACATGCTTCTTCCTGTTAAAGAAGTATAATTTTTATTTTACTTTAGAGCATGAACAACACAAGGTACTAAAATACATTTACAAAACATAGTATAATCAAAATATACCAGATATTTCCATATTGAAAAACGGCTAGTTCTATAGACTTAAAATATTGCAATATAGAAGGCTTAAGTATGGTATTACAGGACTCCAAGTTCTAAACTGGACTTTTATACATGATAAAGTTAGCAATGGGAACCACTAACACATACCGTCACTACAGGGCAGCTTCTGTAAAGTTCATGTTTGCAATTGGTGCCAAAGCTGCTAACTCTGAACTATTTCTGTTTCACTGACTTGGCTGTTTGACTGCTCAGGTAACAAAATAAAACTCATTTACATTTTAATAGCTGATGAAGAGTAAAAATGTCTCAATATGCTGACACAGGTCTAGAAAAAGGTTGGGATCCATGATCTTGGAGGTCTCTTCCAGCCGAAACTGTTCTATGAGTCTATGATTCTCGGACAAGCTTATGATTTGCTTTAGCAACTGCAAAGAGTACCACACTACAGGATGCTTTTTTTCCTACTCCGTCAAGATTTTACTAAAGACCTGCAAGGCCTGAAGCAGGCTTTAAACACAAGCTAAAGGGGCACTCGGCAGGGTGCCACCCTGCCCTCCCAGGGCCTCGTAGCGGGGCCGGAGACCAGGACGCGGCCCAGCAGACCCCGCAGGCCTCGGTGCTGCCCACCGGCTCTCCCGCACGTTTAGGAGGAGCCATCACCGGCAGGGTCCCGCTACCGGAGGAAGGGGCCGCAGCGCCGCGGCCGCGCTGAGACAAACCCCTCACAGGAGGT